GCTCAGGCATGTTTCCCTCCTGTTTTGCTGCAAACATATCCTGCAAATTAAACCTAGTTGGCTTTTACTTAGAATAAGTGGATCTGTTTACCTGGGTTTCACCTCCTTTTCCTTTCTCCATCGGAACTTTAATGACAGGCTGCAGCTTCGTCTCTGGGTGGACACACTGTAGTTTCCCGATGTGAACTTTTTACGGGGAAAAGAAACTGAAACCTACGAACCTTTGATCCTTTATTTCAATAGTTTAAACAAACTTCTTTTATTGGGTGATTTTAGATAATATTGTCTGAGCCTTCCCAGGTCTCACATGTGGCATAAAAAGATTTGGTTTAATTTATTCATTTTTAAATTTTAAATGTTTGTTATTCAAGTTTCGGGAGTGGGAAATGGCTTTATTTGTCTGGATTTATTTAGATGTGCGGTAGCGCCCCCTGCTGATCGATGAGATTATTTTCTGATGAAGATTTATCTTGTATGGAAAAACTCCACTCCTAAAGAAAATAGGCGAGAATAAGTCAAAAGTTTCCAAATATTTAAATAATTTGTTTCCTGCGAAACTAAATAATACATCAAGATTAATTGTAAATACTTTATTCATGTTGCACCTTAGAATAACAGGTTGAATAAAAAGAAAAACAAAGATGCAAATTGTTACAAAAACTGTAAAAGACAAAAAACAATTTTTACAGAGTTGGATCTTCAGATAATGGCTGTTTAGCAAACGGGTAAAATAAAATTATCCCAATACTTATAAAGTAAATTACATGAAGAATCTAGAAAAGAATGAAAACAATATTTTATATGGTTCCTCTCAAGATAAAGATTACAAGGTGCTCCACAAGAACCACACAAAAATGTTTTTAAAATATAACAATTTGAGGAAAAATAATGTGATTAAAAACGTTAGAAAAGGGAAAGAGAAAATGAATAAGAAAGATATATCAGTGAATCCTGGGAAAGGTAAAATTGGTAGAAAGCGGAACAAGCAGAGGGTGGTGACGAAGATCACACCAAAGCCTGAACAGGTGAGTTTTCAGCTGCTTTTAAAGGAGAACCACTGAGTCCACTGATCTCAGGCTCAGGGGGAGAGAGTTCCAGAGTCTGGCGGCCACAGCAGCAAATGATCTGTCACCTTTGGTCTTTAGCCTGGTGCTGCACAACCAGTAGGCTTTGGACCTCAGGGACCTGCTGGGGGTGTAGGGACTGAGAAGATCACCAATGTAAGATGGTGCTTGTCCATGTAAGGCCCTATAGACCAGAACCAGGATCTTGAAATGAACGCTGAAGTTTGACTGGCAGCCAGTGAAGCTGGAGGAGAAGCGGGGTGATGTGGGTGTGTTTGGAGGACTTGGTCAGAAGCCGAGCACAGGCATTCTGAACCACCTGTAGACGGTTCAGGGAGGTTCTGCTCAGACACGTGAAAAGAGAGTTACAGTAGTCTAAGCGTGAGGAGATGAAGGTGTGGAGAACTGTCTCAAGTTCAGAGCGGGACAGAATGGGACTCAGCAATGTTCCTGAGATGGAAGAAGGCAGAGCGAACAAGAGAACTGACATGAGAATCCAGGGTGAGAGCTGGGTCAAAGGTCACACCAAGATTCCTGACAGAAGGTTTTGTGTGGGAAGCAAGCTGACCAAGAGAGTCTCTGACTTTGGGAACCAGCTTGTCTGGGGCACAGATGAGGATCTCAGTCTTATCTTCATTCAGCTGTAGAAAGTTCCCAGCCATCCAGGGTTTAATAGAGTCTAAGCAGGTGTGTAACAGCTGCAGCTTAGACGTCTCATGGGGCTTAAAGGAGATGTTGGATGTCGTCTGCATAAAGATGGTAGGAGACTCCTTTAAAGGAGTTCAGAATGTGCTGAAGAGGAAGCAGATCAACACATTCTCACACCCGAGTCGGCTAAAACTGACGATGGGTGACCAAGCGTTTGTTTCCGACTCATTGGGAGCCCCAACGCCTCGAGAGGTGCAGAGTGGTGCCGAAGCGTTGGTTTCTGAAGCCCGCGGGAAAATGCACATTTCACCGACCTTTAACCTCTTGCTATTTAGCCTTCCCTTCACCCCCACCCTAACCTTAACCCAGTTTCTCATTCTAAACTTCTCGTTAACCGTGTTTGAGAGGGACGTTACAACTAGAAACAAAGCTTTGCATGTGCAAGTGGGTTAAGGTTAGGATGGGGGTGAAGGGAAGGTTAAATAGCAAGAGGTTAAAGGTCACAATTTGTAAGAAAGTCAATAAATGTTATTTATGTAGCACTTATCACAGAATCATAAAGTGCTTCACATAGATCAAAACAAACTAAAACAAAGTCATAAAATCAAAATGATCTCAAAACAGAATCAGATTAACATCAGAAAAAATAAAGTCATAAAATTATAAAATTTCATAAACAGATGACAGATTAAAATTTGAGTAAAAAAAAGAAAATAAAAGATTTAAGTAAAAGCAGCTTTAAATAAAAGGGTCTTTAGCTGTTTTTTAAACGTGTCCAGACTGAATGCTGCGTACGGACAAAGGAAGATCATTCCAGAGTTGGGGTTCAGCAGTCTGGAAGGAGCAGTCACCTTGACTTTTATATCTGGTCTTTGGACTTCTGGAAGGTTCTGGTGTGTGGACCTGAGGGCTCGGGTTGGAGCATAAGGCTTTAACAGTTCACTAATACAGGGAGGAGCTTGACCACGTAGAGCACTGAAAGTTATAGTCAGGATTCTAAAATGAACTCTAAAGTTAACGGGTAACCAGTGCAAAGACATTAGAATAGGACTGATGTGTGCTCTTCTGTTTGCTCCAGTTAGGAGCCTCACTGCAGAGTTCTGGACCAACTGAAGGGGGTCAAGGGCTTTTTTGTTAAAACATGAAGAGTGTGTTACAGTCATCTAGACGGGAGGAGACAAAGGCATGGAGAACCATTTCAAGTTCATATTTTTGGTGAAATCTCCATTTTACAAATTATTATTTTTAATAATAATATCCAGATGAGTTATTTATTTTATCTGTGTGGCTGTTTTGAGGTCATGTATCCTCAGATGCCAACAGGACTGGTTTTATTTAGATTTTCTAACAGAAACATGCAGAAAGAAACTTAATAAAATGTTCTTTGATCTCAGAAGTGATGCGTTACACATGAGCAGACATTCAGTGGAAAAATAACAGGTGTTGAATTATCAGAGTCCTCCAAATAATTTAGTGTAAAATAGTTTGGACATGTTCAACCCTCTCTGGCCACCAGAGGGCGCTCCAACCTGATCTATACAGCAGTGTGTGTTTCTCTGCTGGCTGACTGCAGGGGTCAACCTGAGGCCACCCTGTCCCTCTGCCTGATGGCAGAAACTTCCTCCTGATCCAAAATGGAAAGAAAAGAAAATAATCTACTACAGAAACAAGTTTGTCACTCAGCAGGTTTTAATAATTTGAGATATTTGGAGGATTTTATAAACCGAACAAACATCTGAGATTAAGGCTGCTGATTGCGGTATTGTGTGTGTGTGTGTGTGTGTGTGTGTGTGTGTGTGTGTGTGTGTGTGTGTGTGTGTGTCATTAGACACATTATACATTACAGATTTTATATTGCACATTAGCAAACTTATTTCTATGTGTCTTATATGATAATATAAAATAAAAGTCTATATATTCTGCCTCTCATGAGATGGCAACTTTTGTTTTTCCTTCCAGGAGGAAAATAACCAAGCTCCTTTAGTAATAGTTTTCCTCCAAACATGTAAATAAACAATCGGTCACCCTTAAAAACGTTTTATGATAAAGTTTTGAAATGATTTGGTCAAACTATATTTGTATTAAGAACCAACCATGGTTTTGTAGGACTGAAGCCAGAGTAACTCACACACAGTGTTGGTTTTGATCAAACTGGACTTATATTGGCTGGTGTTGGTTTTAGTGACCTTGAGAAGAGCACAGTGGTTATTTACCTGCTGATCAGATAATCCAAACATACATTTAAATATGTTTTCCAGAATCTGCTGTAATCTCTGGTTTACTATCCTGTAACTAAAACCACAACGATCTTCTGCTGAGTCATAAAAACTTTGGTTGCTTGAGGAGATCTGAGCAGGTAAACCCTGCTGGATGTCTGGTCATCTGAAGCACAACACAAAGGAAGTCTGACTCATGACTTAATGTTAGAGTTTGAGCTGTTTGCCAAATAAAGGACATGAGCTAAAACTAAAATCCCACCTGTCACAGCCCTGAGGTCAGCCGTGTCTGTAGAAAGAAGCCTAACCACTAATCATCTGACTGCAAACCTGCCATCTGTTGGAGGATGCTGCAGAAAATGTTTCACAACCACCACCATGTTCCAACCGATGATTCACAATTTGTTTTAATTGAGGAATTTGTTTTTGAAAGATTGCAGCTTGTTTTCTGCTTATTCAGCAGAATAATCTGAGATTTCCCTCCAGTTTGGGACCGCTCACCAGCAGTGGTGTAACCTTCAGGTCAAAGGTTACCACAGGAGGAGCGCTGTCGGGTTTAATCTGTTCATCCTGTGGATATTTTTGAGATTTTGCTGATCGCTTATTTCCAGTAGTTTCTCTGCAACACCTGGCTCTGAGGGTTCTGGCTGTGCTCTGACTCAGCAGCCCCTCATGACACGCAGGTGGGGGGGAGGGAGGGGGCAGCGGTCTAAACGGAGAGCTATGCAGATCACGCAGCCGTGTGACACAGCAGTCTGTCAGCTCCTCCCTCCACTGTACCCTTATCGTCCTCATGAGATGACACACATTTACTCAGGTTCTCACTGCGTCCAGCTGAACGCCTGCCAGTGGCCTCCATAAACCAAAGTGCAGCGAGGGTGGAAATGAAGGCGCTGCAGAGATCTGGATGGTACAGGCTGGACTCTCAGAATAACAACCTGACTGGTTGCTTTTTATCGCAGAGACAAGCAGAAGCTCAGGGTTAGACAAGAGTCGGTAATCGTATCCATTCTAAAAGTTTTAAAAAATTTTAACCTTTGTTAAAATGATTCTGGGACAGAAAAAAATTTTTTTTTCTTCTAAAAAAACAAAAACTAATGTTTTTCCGGGATCTGTATCTGAACTGCTGAACGTTCAGGGCCTCTTTTATCATCTGCTCTTTTCATTATGAGGCCAATGTTATCATTGAGCAACAGGTCTGGAAGGCAGCCACAGAGGTTCAGCATCCACGCTGTTGTGAAAGTCTCATTTGTCCTTTTATATCCTAAAATAAACAAAT